ATTGATACTTTTATTATTATTCTTTTTTTTTTCCAAGCGTCCCTTTTTTGAAGTTTGGATTGTGTAATGGAGCAATTCCTCATTAAATAACATGATGCCCAATAAGCTGAATGCGTTTTCCTCTTTTTCACAAAAATTATGCAGTTTGGTAACAAAAGAATATTGGCGGGATCCTCATTTGATGTTCAGAGGGCAGAACCATCTCAACAACAGAAGACAAAAACACCTACACTTGATACGCACCGGGCCGAGTCCTCTCGGCAGCATGTGAGAGCACTTAACACTCAATTTGCAAGGTCTAACTTGTGAATACCATAATTTGAAATTGCTTTTTGTTTCATTACTTTTAACTGCATGCGTTGATCACATTTAATTGAAATCATTGGTACAGAACTAATCTCTGTGTGTGTGTGTGTGTCTCTCTCTCTCTCTTTATATATATGGATGGATTTTTGGTGTGTTATCTTGCATGTTCGTTTATGATGCATTGCATTTCTGGACTTTTTAGCAGTTAGTTGTACTTGCTAGATGCTATATGGTTCTTTATGGTTTTAGATTTCTGGAAGTGTTGAGACGTGGGATGCCATACCCATGATATTCAATGGTTTTGACACTTTTGTTTACGTACAGTTGGGTGCAGACACAATTAACCAATCATCCAGATGAACTTTGGGAAGATGGTGTGCGTGATTACCTTTCTCACGCGTCAGGTATTATGGTAAGTGTTCCCAAAGTATCGTTCTGTTTTATTTTATTTATTTTATTATTGATATGTCCTGTTTTATGGATTTACCATGCCCTTCAGGTGAATTTGGGGACATGCAACTCTTTTACACAATTGAAAATAAATTCGACTTGTTTAAGAATTACTTAATGATTATTAAGTATTCATCCCTTTTTTGATAGGGCAGAATTGCCCAGCTCTATTTGCTGTAAATTTATTGCATATCATGAGTGCATTTGTTTAAGGTGTCTAAAATTGAATTTCTCACCAATTGTCTTGAGTTACATATCCAAATTATTTATTAATTCAGAATTCTTGCTTTAATTTTTTTTTTATTCAAAGGAAAAGTTCAGTGATATTGTCGAGTGGCTCAAAGCAAATGCTGTTAAAGCAGAAAGTTCACCTGCGACTGGATCTCCTTCAACTGAAAAGAAAACAGAACTTGAGCGCAAGAATACTGATGTAAAACTATTTCAAGGACCAACTGGTTTTGCACCTACTAGCATTGCAACCACGAGCATTGCAACATCCTGGACATCTGGTGCATTCTTCAACCATCAAGCCCCTATCATATTTGGTAACATTACTTTTGCTAGCTCTTTATTTGGTATTCCAAGTGCTACATCTTGAAGAAACATAGGAAACGAAGGAAAAGGAAATTGGGAACCAGATTTGCCCATTGCTTCAGTTCCTTGAGGTGTTATTGTTTATAAGTGAGCTTTATTTTTCATGATATAAAACAAATTTGGTAACTAGAGAAATTTTGTTACAAAAGAGGGATTTACCTTTTTTTCTTAGAAAGAAAGAGAGATTTACATTTTATTGTTGTGCCACTAATCCCTGATGTTTATATTTTAGGTGAGGCTAGGACTAATTTCTTTTAATTATATAAATTCTTCATATTAACACTAACAACAATCATGTCCTTTGTTATCCACTAGCCCAATTTTTCCCAAGTGATTCATGATCTTTTTACATTTAGTTAACATTGAGGACCTGTCTCTCTGTTCCGTTGTTATAATCAAGTGCTTAGAGAGCTAAAAGTAACATGTTTTGCTTTGTAGTTCGTATTGAATTATCCCACAATTCATTGGTTTGGTACTAAGTTAACACCTCTCCTTTTCTCTTCCCTTGGCAAGGATTACAAAATTCAGTTCCCGCCAATGGTGTATCTGTTGGTCAAATTGCAGTCCCAGCTTCAGAGGACGTGGATGGCGGTGAGATGCTTGGGCTCAAGTCTGTTTTTGGTTATTTCAAGATTGAGTATCATCTCTCTAAGCTACTCTGTTTATATTTAATATTTATAGTTCAATAAACCTCTAGGCCAATTTCAACGTAAAATTCCACCCAATGTATAATGTTGCACCAATGATGACAGACTTGTGAATGATAAATGAGTTGAGTTGTTGATGCCCTCTTTTTGTAGTTTTTTTCATTTATCTTAATGAAAGTGCAGTTTCTTATAAAAAAAAAAAAAGTCGAGTTGTTGACTCTCATGTTGACAAAATTGGTTATTGGCAGTCCTTAACTCTCAAATACTGAGCTTCAAATGGCTAAAAGTATTATAGATAATCTACTGTATGTTCTGTATAAACTGCTTTTTGACTTTTTTTCCCCCTAAAAAAAGAGAGTTGGACTAAATTTGTATCGGACCGAGTAAATCTATCTTGCATACAAGATCTTTGCTAATTTATTTTACTAATTTTCTGTTTAAGACCTTAGAAATTGAAGAAACCAATAATGCATCCTATGAGATCAAAGTCTTCAAGGATCTTAATTATGAGTGCAGCAAATGTCTTTTGTTTTTTCAGTTGATGAGTGCCACTTCACTTTGTTCCGTCCTACTAAGTGCTATTTTCTTAATTTGAGACGTTATTTTGAATGTAGAAAATGACGTGGAGCAGCCAAGCAGCCCATCTGTGAAGAAGTCTGAAGAGAAAGGGGTGGTTGTAGTACATGAAGTTAAGTGCAAGCTTTATGTGAAGGTATTATTTGTGAAAAATGGAACTTAAATATACTCTTTTACACATGAAATTAGGAAACACAGGAAGTCGTCCTATTTTCCTCTGAGCATGCTCTTAATTATTTGCATTGTAAAAAAAATATTATTCTAAATTTTTGTGATATTATTATTTTTTCGGGTTAGATACGTCTTGACTTGGTATTATGACACTTCTTACTGTGAGGAGAGTGGTAAATAAATAGAATATATGGGAATGGTGGGTGATGAAATCAGTCGTGATTCAGTGAATGGGTAGGTGAGTAGGTCTATAGGGGAGATATCTTAGGCTGTCAATAATATTGGGCTTCTCGAAATGCTTGGAAGCTTATATATCTCTCATTTTGTATACAGTCTAGTTATCTTGTGATTGGCTTGTATCAATTGGTATTGGGGCATTGATTCTGGGAATTCAAGAGGGAAAAAGATGGATAATCAGATTGATTGATGTAAATGCGTTTTGGAGCAATGTTTGAAAAGTAGCAAGAATAATGGGCTGAAAAGAACTGTTGGTGGAGGATGTGGGGCCAACGCTGATGGAATATCTAGGAGGGGCAGGTCACAGGTGAGGAAGACAGTTGTGGATTAGTAGTGACTAGGAGATATCTTAGGCTGTGGAGACTACCAAGCCTCACACAATGCTTAGAAACGCAGATCTCTCATTTCTGCTTTGAATTCAATCATCATTTCTTATGTTTTGCTCACAGCACTAGCTTCCTGTATATAATTTGTTTGACATGATCTGCTGGCCGGACTTTGTCTTACGAGTGCCGATGAATTTGTGAAGAAGTAAGAATGGAAAAATCATCTCGAGTGCTGATGAATTTGTGAAGTAGTAAGAATGGAAAAAACATCTCGAGTGCTTATGAATTTGAGAAAAAATAAAAATGGAAAGAAAATGTAATCCATATAGAAAGTTCACTGTTGATGGTATATTCCTTCTGTTTACTGTTATTTTTATTTGCATCATGTTTAATATTGTTTATGTTTCTTAATTTTTAGTGCTCCTTGGACCCGGTTTAGTTAATGTATTCTTGACACCACATTGTCTGTTGTGTATAGTCAACCGATCCAGCCGATAAAGATGCATGGAAAGATAAGGGCACAGGGCAGCTCTCCATCAAATGTAAGGAGGGTGTCAGCAAGGGTACAAAGGAATCCAAACCAACAATAGTAATTCGAAATGATGTATGGTTCATTATCCTTAATCTTTGTCGTTCAAATAATGGCTTTTGCTTATCCCAGCTATACCGACCTCTCCTTTTCTTTTTCTCCTTTATCTTACGATGTGTTGAATACTGTACTGGTAGGTGGGGAGACTGCTTCTGAATGCTTTGCTCTATCCAGGGATCAAAACAAATACACAAAAGAATTCCCTTGTTGCAATATTCCATACCTCGGTAATGATTATCTTCATACTGATTATCAACATATCGAAGTATAATTTTAGTCGGTTGAATTGGGCGCTTCATATGCCCGATAGAAGAAGTAGCGTTTGGTTGCCAAATCAGGATTGAGCATGTTCGATTCCTAAAAGTTGCCTTCTAGTTCTAGCTATCTTGTTTGTTGCTTTCTCAAATGATGTTGTTTCAAGTTCCTATCTCATGTTCTACCTATAATATTCCCTTCTGGAATCATTGCCGTCCATTTGATTATTCTATTTGAAGCTGTCTCATGAAACACCTTCATCATTTTTTTTTTGGTCGGTCTTAAGCTTCTTGGTACATTATATATCACTGTTTCTCACTTTTTTTTCCTCCTCCGAGGCTTTTCATATTATAGCATTTCCTAGAGGCATCTGCAGCTGATTAATTTTCTTCGGTTTTGTAGAGTGAAGGCGATGCAAACGATAATGGCGATAAAGATACAGTCGTGGCTCGCACATGCTTGATCCGGTTAAAAACAGAGGACGATCGGAACAAGCTAGCAACAGCAATTCAAGAATGTGCTCCTGCTTCTTCGCAATGATCAAAGGCGGTGTCTCTATAGGTCCTTTGTATGAGAGAATGAATTTTGTCTGGTTATTTTTATTTCCCCCCATTTGTTCGGGAGGGGGTTTCTTCAGATCAGTTTAGCATTCTAAATTGATCTCTACGAAATGAATCTGCTTCTTAAAAGAGGTCGACTCACATGATGTACTATAAAGAGAATGAATGCGGTTTTATTTTTTTGCAGCAATACAATAATGCAAAATTTTCTTCTTCTTGGTTTCTCAATTTCACCGTTCCTTTTTGAATGGTTCTTTTGGGTTTGGTGGGATCAATCTCTTGCCCTTTGTTTGCAAAAAATGTGGGGAAATTCTCATGCAACTTCAAGTTGAAGCATTTGCCATTTGTAAGCAAGTCGTGTTAGGGCATTTTTATTATTGTTGATATTTATAAATGTAGACAGGAAAAATCAACTTGCGTTTGTAGTCCAACGGTTCAAACGCATATTTCATTTCATATTATCTGCTATTTAAAAAGCAAGAAAATTTTAATTTTGTCCTGAGCCGTGTTCCTAAAAGGACTGACCTCTATGTTTTATTCCCTTCTATTTTTTGCTTCCTCTCATTTTCATTTTCAAATCTGGCTCGCTCCCGACTATGTGTCCTTTGGACCCTTTGCTTCAATATTAAAAGTTCAAATCTATTGATGCTTTTTAAGTTTTGGGGAAGCATACAACAAAACAAAGGAATACATATCATAGATGTGAAGTAGTATTTACAAGCTTGATTTTCAAAAATAAAAAATCAGAAACAAAATTATTATCAAACCAAGAGACTTATAATATAGTTTTTAAAGTTTAAGGACTAAAATTTTATCATAGTACATTTGATTGGTTATATGAATATGTATTTGGTGGCAGATTAGATCATTGAATCTTAATTTAAAAAATTGTTCGGAATATGTTTAGTAATTTATTAACATATATGTATTAGATTTTGTATAATTAATTATTTTACAGTATTAATATAATTTATAATATGTTAGGTTACACGTACCTATTTAAATTTTAACAAAATTTAATTAAAAATAAAATGACTTTATAACTTGTAATCATATTTTTTACTAAAGTTTTTATCATTTTAAATACAATGTTCCTGGATTTTAAAATTTCAAAGTTAAAACCTTAAAACACTCAGAAACATGCAAATGTTAATTTTCATTTAAGAATGAAACGAATCCTATAATCAAAGTTTTAAATATCGAAGCAAATGTTTGAGATTTCAATTTCAAGAAAATATCGATAGATATTTTTGTAAAAGTTGGATAAATTAAAAATTCATAAAAAAAATATTTAATATAAATGAACATTTTCCTATTTCTAATAAGTAAAAAAAAAGTAAAAAAACAATTAATCTATATTATGTATATATTATCGAATATTTTTTATATTTTATCAAATTTTTTAATATGAAAACATCGATTTACCTTTCACATGATCCACGGATACATAAAAATATCAATATATTGACGAATATTTAATACAATGACTCTAGTAATCCGCAGCTTAGGATCATCTCCAGTTTCCGAAGATTAAAACAGTATACGCTGGTCGCTGACTCAAATATTCATCAATTTCATTGGGCCAATCAAAGCTAGTTCCAGACAAAACCATTGAAACAAAAAGCTCATTTCTTTTTTCTTTTCTTTTCTTTTTTTCTCTCTCTCTCTTACTTTAAAAAATTAAATTAAAAAAAAAAGAACCCCAAAATTCAACACTCTCAACTTGTAATTGAATTTCAGTAACTACGTTAAATATGGTAGGGGAGTTGTCATAAGGGCAAAGCCAATGCAAAACCTCACTTTTAGCTTAGTGACTACTTCCATTCCAAATATAACAAGCATCAGAGTCCCAATAGGCAGTAGCACCACCACATTCAAAGTTATAAAACAAGAAATGCTGCCCAGACTCTATAAAACAACTGATTTCACACCTGAGGCTGAAGAATTGAGAACGGCATCGCCGACCGCTTTCCTCATTCCTTTGTACAACTCTTGTTGGTGTTTTGGTAAACGATGTTAACCAACTGAAAGTTAACAGACGACTGATAGCCTAAGAGATGGGGTTGTTGGGATGTGCGTGCACGATGCCCATCGTATGACTGTTTCAGTCACAATGAGGTTAAGCTGATCGAGCTCGCCAAGTCCGATCGTATGATTCCTTTTGCTGGGAATGTTGGTCCCTCTGGACCCACCTGGTCCTCCTTTTCGAGTTTCTTTCCACTCCATTTCTCCRAACCTGTGCTTGGCTGGACTTGAAGGTTCCAKCAGAAGAGAGAGCTTTCTCTTGATTGGTTCTGCAATTTAGATGGAAATCAAGGATGGGAAGATGGAAATCATCTCCAATTAACTAATATTCAGAGCTTTCTCAACCCTGAACCTCGAGAAAGCCAAATGGAATGGTTGGCTTTGAACGAGCCTATTGCTACCTTTCCAGACATGAGGGAGAAGGCATCTAAAGGATTATCTTTTTCTGTCTTGTTCAGAGTTCTTATTCAACATCTCCTTTTTCATTCTTTGTAATCTACCGTCATCCTAAACCTATAATCAATAAAATGAAAAAGGCCTGGGAGTGAGGAAAACACACCTTCATGTAGCGCCTCTGAGAGTGACAAATTCACTTTGAATCTCATCGAACCGTTTCCTTGATCAACTGCTGAACATGGACTGAAGAAGGTAAAGCTGGGAAGCTTTGGAATTGGGGATGAAAACTCGGTGGCTGCATCTAATTCAACACAACTGCTGAAAGAAAATCCTCCAGGAACGGGACTAGGGGGGCCGCCATTATCCAAAAGGAAAGAAGAGAATGATGATTTGCATGTGAATACAGGTGACTGTACCATTTGGTCCTCACAAATAACAGGAGTTCCATCGCTGAAGCTAAAATCCTGATTTCTAACAAAAAATGGCACGGGCAAAGAAGTTATGCCCACTTCCACCCGCCAGCAATCTCGAGCATCTAACTTTTCTTTCTCTTGAGATGCTTGGGCAGCATCCTTCATCCATGAGTGAGCTACAACAAACATAAGTACGTTTCCTTTACAATAGTGCTATTTGTTGCCATGTAATGCATGAGCTCATTCCCAAATTAAATGTGCTTAAACTATGCCTAGACTAACATATATCTACAGGAAAGCTCAACGATGGCATTAATTAATTAATAGTCAACAAACACTAAATTAATTGACCTACGAACCAAAAATTTTGCATAATCAGAAAAGTTCATTAAGTCAACAGGTAGTCAACTTCCAAGGAAACAAACCGTTCTGTCAATGTGAAATTAAAAGATAAAATATATACAATAATAATGATGAAATCTGCAATTGACCAATTCCCAGGCCACGCAGAAAACTAAGGTGATCTTACTGCTAGCCCAATCAATGGATTTTGTGATGTTTGGCAATGCATSTAGAGATGTCTCTAAGGCATCCAAGAAACAAATCTATTGGTCCTATTCTCTAAGTTATTGATTTTTGAAGTTACAGATTCGACTCTTGGATAACCAAAAAGCAATTCGACCAAAAACAATCATAGGATTACCTAGAACCTCCTTAGCAGTCAGCCGTTTTGAAGGATCCATGCAAAGCATTCTTGTAATCAAGTCCTTGGCAGATGAAGACACGTGATCCCAAATATTAGAAGGAAAACGTAAATCTGCAGCCCTAACAGCTTCAAAAATTCTTGATTTTGTCTTACCCCAAAAAGGGGGCATCCCACTGAGAAGAATGTAAAGGATAACTCCAGCACTCCACACGTCAGCAGCTTGGTTATAGCCTCCTGCAAGGACTTCAGGGGCTATGTAAAATGGACTCCCAACAGTACCATGCAAATATTGACCTGTCGCCGAAGAACAAATGCTCATATAACAGATTTTAAAGGATGAATTCTTAATTTAACTTTATGTTAAATACTAGTTCGAGAGGAAATTTGGGAAATAAGTTTACCAGGTTTGATATAGGTTGCAAGACCAAAATCTGCCAACTTAATGGGAGATGAGGAGGAGGTTGTGGCTAATAGAACGTTTTCTGGCTTTAGATCTCTATGAACCACACCGTTCTCATGACAATACTTGACCACTTGAATTAGATGCCTGAAAATTACCCGAGCATCAGATTCTGTGAACCTGCCATGCTTCTCAAGCTGGTGGAAAAGCTCCCCACCAGCACACAACTCCATTAGTAAGTGCACACAATCTTCCTCCTCATAAACTGCCTTTAGATTTACAACATTTGGATGCCCAGACAATCGAGACATTATTTCAATCTCAAGCTTAACACTGCGCACATCATCAAGCGTCATCAATTTATCCTTGGCAATGGACTTGCAAGCTAACATCTCCCCAGTCAGCCTATCAGAACATGACCGAATCACACCAAATTGCCCCCAACCCAATCGTTCTCCCAAGACGTACCGATCTTTCAAATTCGCGACTTGTGTAGTTTCCAAAATTGTTTCACTGAGGCTTGAAACTTTGAAACAGTTGTAGAATTGTATAGACTGCCCAATCTGGTCACTTTCAGTTTCAGCTAGGTCCATACTAGGGCAACAGAGTTTTAATGGCAGGACAGCTGAAATAGTACCTCAATAGAATATATCCTAAATTAACCTCAATGACGTTTCAGAGACGACGTTTCTGAAACGTCTGTCCATGAAAATTACACAGCAAACATAGAACAATGCAGAGTCATAACCTCATCCTGAACCGACCAGGTTGAGCTGAGGCTATAGAGTTAATTTTCCATATGAATCCAGGTTCAAGCATCAGCTCCCATGTATAACCTAGCAAGTAAGGTGCAAGAATGACTCAAATCCCAAGAAATTAGGAGGACAGATAAAAATCTAATCAACTTCACAAATCACACCACACCTCTCTATTTGCCCAAAGAGTTCAGAAATCAGAAACACGCAATTCAAACACATCCCATCTTCCAACTTTTCCAATTGATTATATACTCTCGAAAACACCCACAAAACCACGAGCAGCTAAAACGAAATTGAAACTGGGAAAGCTCAAAAAACCGGCACAATCACACATACATGATACACTTGCAACTTCAGACGAGGACCCAAAAATGTAAGCATAATCTTTCAGAGCAAGACGAAATTGAGAYCAGGATCACCCAAAGTCCAACTAAAACAATTGGAAAAACCCCAAAAATCAAAAAAAGGAAAAAAAGGGGCGTACCAGAAGAATCATCCTAGCTCGATTCCCTGCTCCACCCGCTTGAATTAACTGAGTGACATACAACAAGAATCAAGAGTTGGCCAAGAAGAAAACGGGCGAGAGAGAGCTGGAGAGAAAAGGAAGAAAAAGGGAGCGTCGAAATGCCATCGTGGAACAAGTCCAGTCCATTAAACCTGCAAATCATTCAAACCCAGTCTTCGGTTTCCCACTATTTCAAAAAGCTCTTCTTCCCTTTGCCTCCTTCCTCACCGGCTACCGGCCCAACCCGATTCCATTTCCCCCCACTTCAATATTAATTAAAATAATTCATAATTAATATTAAACTTAAGCATCCACAACGAAATCAAGTAAAGCCACGGCCAAACCAATTTCAAATCAAATCAAATAAAATCACGCCACAAAAGTTTGCCACGTGTCATGTATCCGTTCTTTATCCCATAAGTAAGCCTCGCGCAATTACCGTTTTGCCCCACGTGGACATGTGCCCAAATGATGGTGCTGGTTGCTATACAACCGGACAAAGCATTACTTTATTAATAAATATTATCTCGCCCTTTTAAATTCAACGACACTTTTATGGATAATTGTTTATTTCTTTTTTCAGCTGACTTAATTTTAATTGCACCAAATTAAAGAAATAACTTACATAAATCATCTTCATGTAGCTGCCAATGTTTATTTTAGACATTTAAATATCCAACTCGGCTATTTTTTTTTTACACATTATCAAATGGTTAGTAATAAGAACAATAATAAAATTTTAAAAAAAATCTCAAATATACTATATTTCAGAAACTTTTAGTTGCTAGATTTTATTACATTTGAGTGGTTTTGTATTTAGATTATTTGACTGATTTTTTAATTGGTTTATAACTAATTCTCTGACTTTATTTATGAGAATATGTTAATTTTGCTATTTATTTAAATTAGTGGTTTAATTTAATGGGAAATTGAGATGTCTGACCCATCTATAATTTATTTGGATTTTTGACCCCTCTCCAGAAAATCTAATTTGTGATACCTTCTATTCTAATTTATGAGCATTTTTCATTTTTTGTGTTGGTAAAATTATCAAAATATTCCTATTTTTTTGAAATAAAATTCTCCACCAATCTCTTACCTTAACCCTCACCAATTCTTTCCATTCTTTTTAATTTGAATCTAATATTATCAACATTTTAATTTAAGAATCAATTAGCAAGAGTGAACACCCAAATCCAAAAAAAAAGTCAACCAATAAGTAAACAAAATTCACATAAATTCTCCAATAATTGAATTATGGTGAAAAAAAAAGAAGATTTGGATTACCCAATAATAAATGTCCCAATATTAAAAAAATTAGAATAGTGTGTATCACGGCTTAGGATAGAACTATCTCGGTCCGGATATGCAATCTGGTCTGGGAATGTGCTATCCAAATTTGATTTTCCATATTAAACGATTAAATACTTAATATTTAATTTCAATTTTTTTAAATTGATTTTTTACCTATTAAATTTGTAATTAACTATTTGGGTTAGATTTTTTTTCCATTCGTAATTGATTCTTCAAATTTAAAAGTTGGGTTTTTTAGGTTTGTAATTGATTATTGTAAGGTTTGTGATGAAATTGTGGGAGGGAATAAAGATTACAAATAAATTTACTTTTTTAAATAATGAAGATATTTTGATAATTTTACTCAAAAAATGAAAAATAGAACAAAAATAAAAAGAGAGGATCATGAAAAAGAGATTTTAGAAGGGGCGAAAAGTTGAAYTTTATTGAAAATGGACAAAAATCTCAATTTTGGAGTTAAAAGTTAAAACTGAAAACTATTTTATTATTATTATTTTTCTAAAATAAACTATTTTATACTTAAGCATGACTTAAATACTTTCAGTTGATGGGACGGAAGAAATATTAGATGGGTGAGGTACGGTAGAACACAGGTCATGTGATTTCACCACGTGGACGATTTTAAGTGGCTGTATGAACTCTATTTGGTGTACCCTTTGGTGAGAATAACAGTCCTCCCACGCACCCACTTGAATGGGAAATAACATACGTCTCCAAAAATAATAATAATCAGGAAATTCTATGTAGGACTCTGCTACTACACCCATCAAACATTTTCTGGTTTTTATAGTAAAAGTTTAAGAAGAATATTTTGGATTATTTTTTGAAAAAAATATAAATTCTCATATGATTGAAATTTTGAAATAACATTTTCTTTCCAAATTTGCCTACACTTCAGAGGACATTTTTGGAAAAAGAGAATTATTTCTCAAACTCAAAATACTGGAAATGGAATCTCTACGCTGCAAATACATTCTTTTTTTCTCTGACTCTATTTTCTTCCTCCACTATGCCATAAGCCATTGGAGAAAATTTTTAAACCACAAAATCTGTTCAACTTGATTTATTAGATTGATTAGATCATATGTTTTTATACGCCTTACCTTCATTTAAACCCACAAATTTTATTCTAGAAAACCACCCACAAATTTTGAGTTCAACGCMAATACAGTGAACTTGAAATGACTCATTAAAATGTTATTTTATATAAAAACAASTTATTCAATAAAACAAATTTTAAGACGAAGCAATAACCAAATGTCCAATCTTCTACTAAGAAAACAAGTGTCTATCTATTATTTAGTGATTTAAGAAAATTTTAAATCACTCTTTCTGTATATGTTTTTTTAACCAAATATTTTTTTCTGTCTATTGAGATGGTGCAGTGGCAAGCATTAGGAACGAGCACTCTACACTCGGAGCCAATCCCCTATCGGTGCTGCTCGAGTGTGATCAGACAACAAAAAATCAGACAATGACAGCAACCTTGATCCGTCTCTGGTTTCGATTCGTTAGGCTCAGCACCTCTAACAAACCCTAAAGTCTCTTGCCG